ATATGGAGATCGAACAAGAGATCAATTAGATGCAATGGTAGACGCAACGTTGAATGAATTTGGATTAGGGAAGGAATTTGTCAGAAAGGAATTGAAATCCGAGGGTATTGCCGTGGAATGTAAAATATGTGAGTGAAGGAATTTATTGGAATTGAAAGGATTCCATCAGTTTTATTCCATGAACCAAACATTGTATTTGAAATTTGGTCAAAGGATTTGGTCATTCCAATTCCTTTCAATTCCATCCAAATCCATGAACCAAACAACCCCTTAAGAGTGTAAAAATTCTGAAGTTAAATAACTCATTCAAACCAAAATGGTTTTGAGTTTTCATTTTTTTTAAGTTAAACAATTCATGTTTTCAGTAATTTTTTTTTTACTATTTCGGCTACATTGAATAACATATTATACTATTACTTTATTTAAATTACTTCTACCTGAATTTGATTTGAGCTTATTGGTCGTCAAAGATTCTCGTAAATGGGGACAATAGGGGCACAAACCTAAAAAAAATTGGGCCAGGAGGTAAATAAGAAGAAAGTTTGAGGTTAAATTTTTATATATTTCTTAATATTTTGGTTTAACCGTGGCACGCTCTCTTTTGTCAGCCGATTCATAACGGAAGTTAGGTTTACAATTAAACCTACCCCAATACATTTGTATATGTAATGTGTGTATGCATTCTTTATTTATTTAAAAATGATAAAATTTTGGACTTCTTAAAAATTCCATCAATAATGTCTTATATTACAGACAATTTTTTTAATATAAAAATCCAAATTTTTGTTATATGAAAAAACAAAATAGAGAGAAAAAATCTGTAATTCTCATTAATCATAAGTCCTTTAAATAATGATGGGTTACAAGTAGATAATAATAAGATATATTAATCATAATCTATATGTCTGTCTATATCTGTAACATCATATGCATTTGACGATGACACATTTATCCTTCAACACTTCCCTTGTGCCGAGTCAAATGAGTAACGATGCATAATAGTTTCCTCGTTACAACCTTACGCCAAAATAAAAATATGGTGGAAAAAAATAAAAATAGGACGAAGGAAAGAGTACATAGCACCAGTTTATTTGCAATATAGACTTTTCCTTTAGTCTAATATTCCCCTAATTAGGGATGACAAAAAAATTGAAACCGATGGTGAAAACCGAAACTCGAGATTTTTCGGGTTAGGTTCAAGACTTCTTATCAAGGACGGGGTAGGGATCGGGGACATAATCGAGGATTTTATCAGGGAAGGGGATGGGGACAGTGATCACAGCCCAACCGGACTCTATATGTCTTATGAGGAAGTTCATATAAAGCTTACTATAATTTTTGGTAGATGTGGCAACGAGTAAGGGATAACAGAGTAGCGACTAGACATGGTAAAAAACCGGCCCTGTGTCCGGCAGGGTCCAATCAATCTCGAGCCGAAACAGTGATAATCCGGACCGGGTCCGGTCAAAAAAGGAAGGCCCGGTTATGAGAATCGGTCCCGTGTCGGATGCAAATAGGTCCCACTTATTATTATTATTATTTTTCAAAATTGAATTTTAACATATAAAAAATATTTTTTGAAGAAATTAATCAATCAAATATACTAACAAATACGTTTTTTTTATTATAATTGAGTCAATCAAAAACACTAAAAGAATACATTTTGTTATAAAAGAATTTGGTCCATCAAATATACTTTAAAAATTAGAATATTTAACTGGGTCGACTGAATACACTAAAAATTACGTTTTTATCATAATACACTTAATAAAATACGCTTAAAAATACATTTAAGAATACATTAAAAACAATTTTATAAATAATCTTTAAATTAAAAATCGGGTCGGTCCCTTAACCGGTCCGGGTCAGGCTTGGTTTTCGGTGAAATATCGTAACTAGTCCCGGACCGCCAGTCCCAAACTAGTCCCGGTTCGGGTCGGGCCCATTTGACCATCTCTAGTAGCGACACAATTTTGTGACAAGTCGTTCAACATCGGTGAGTAGTGGGCAACAACCATTTAGAGGCGGGGAAAAATGGTTTTGAATTTTACATACTGATAACGTGTTATAGGACAAATAAAACAGAAAAAACGAGAGCTAGAGAATGAATCTATAACTCTTAGGGGGTGTTTGGTTGGGGGTATTAGACAATAATTAATGGGAATGATATTGATTGTATTAGTTTGGTTCAAAAAAGGAAYGAAAATGAAATGATTGATGATGTTTGGTTACAATTAATGTAATCAGTCATTATAATAAGAAAGGTCAAAAAACCATTCCACTCCAAATTGGGTGGAATGAACCAAATTAATCAATCCCATCGCCTCCTCCAACATAAGCAACCTCTCATCGTCTTTAGTTCAATACGTTGAAGAGATGAGTCCTCTTACCATCTTGATATAGAAATCAATCGATTTCTTTGTTTCTCATATCCGATTTTCTTCGATTCAATACGTTGAACAAATCGATCGATTTATTTGTTTCTCATCTTCGATTTTCTCATGTCCTTGTGAAACCCTTGATAGAAATCGAATTTGTCAGGTCACCAACTTCCTTGACCTTCCGGTACTGGTACAAAATAAATTTTGTGGCTGAATACAGACGTTTTTAATAAAAATGGGCAATCCTGAGCCAAATCACGTTTTCCCAATTAGTAACCCAGGATTCCAGACTTTTTTGAAATGAGAGAGAAATCCACCGCCCTTTGGGGGGGGGGGGGGAAGGATGGATTGTTAGTGTAGACGATTTAGTTTAATGTTTTTATTCAGTGAACGTGGTTTGCTCCTCAGTTTACGGGGTATTAGCAGCCGTTTCCAGCTGTTGTTCCCCTCCCAAGGGCAGGTTCTTACGCTCTTTATTCTTTATAGAATATATTATAGATTCGTGTTGGGTTTTAAGAAGGAATCGGGATTTGGGTTTGTTTATCGTCTTTCCATTTTGTTCGATTTGTTCCTTGTGAAACCCTTGATAGAAATTGAATTTGGGTTTTAAGAAGGAATGAGATTTGGGTTTGTGGAGATGACATCCTATCAGGTTAATACTTGATATAAAAAATATAAAATAGTGAGCTGTGGATGTGTTTTGTGTTGGTGAAGGCTGGAAGAGTGAGCCCCCATGCCATCTGTCTGTTACCGGCGGAGATTTTAGAGGGTTAGGTAGCGTGGTGTTAGGGACGATGGTGAAGGGAGGGATAAGAAAGAAAGAGGAGGGTGTTGTTGGGGGTTTTCGATCGGAGCAGGGAAGAGATCGGCCAGATGACTGTAGATGGAGGCTGCTGAGTGGTGGTGGTTGTGAAGAGAGCCAGAGATGGTTGGGGGAGGGTCATCACAGGGACCAAAACCGCAGTGGTGGTGGTGAATTTCGTCCCAGCCTTCATTTGTGTTCTTCGTCCCAACCTTCATCTATGTTCATCATTGTTCCACCTTCATCTATGTTCTTCAAAAAATCGATGTGATGTTTCATGGCTATAGTTTGGATAAGAAACAAGAAGAAAAATAGAGAGAGACTGTTATTGTAGGATGAGTTTTTTAAACCATACATCAACAATGGAAAGTAATATAAAGCAATATAATATAATAAAATGGATATATTGATTCTTATTCCCTTATATATTCATTCCTATTTTCATTCCGATTCCTTGAAATGAACCAAACGCCCCCTTATTAATGATAAACCCTTTTAAACAATGATGAGTTACAAATAGATAATCACGAGATATATCAATTCTAATCTATCTTTAATATGTCTATCTATTTCTATATCTTCATATCCAATTATCGATGACACATTTATCCTTCAACAATTTTATCATCTTCAAGCAATAAATGGATCATAACAAGTTCTATTAGGTCTTAATATTAGACAATATTTGTTCTAATTGGGCTTAATATGTCATATTAGGTCTGAATGGATAAGACTATATCTTAGTGGGCCTTAGAGCATATGCAACATGTGTTTCATATTTATATTATGAATTTGATTTTGTTCGAGGGTCGTTAGATTTAGATGAGGAATCGATACAAATATCTAGTCGTTGTTGTAACGGAATATATGAAGTCGTCGAACTATTTTGATCAATATTTGGAATGTTCTTAAATTTTGAACTAGTAAAAAAGGGCTGGCCTAAGGATCGTGATAGGTGAATGTCTGTTTTGGTTCTAAATTTTGAACATGAGACTGGTTCTTAACTGGTTAAAACAGCTCGGGTTAAACCCAAAAACCTATCATCGGTTAAGGCCCGTTAAAGCCTGAAAAATCACGGTCAAAGCCCATAACTTTTATCCAATTAGTTTATTATAATTAATTAATTTACTGATAATTCGATGTATTTTTTAATATATGCATTTGTTATTTTCTTTAAAAACCGAAAAGGACCTGTATGACCATCGACCTAGAATTGGTTCTAAATTTTTGATCAAGGACCAGTTGAGATTCAATACGGTCTCTTTTTGACCTAACTTTTCTGCCAATAATGATCGTTTTTTTTTTTTGAAAATGTTTTTGTTTCCTTATTTTAGAGAAATTACGAAGAAAATATTATGGGCTGTTTGACAGTTGCTGAATGATTTGATGCAAAATAATTAAGTGATCAGAATGGTTAAGAGGCTCTCATGATACTGTGCAAAATGAAATATAATTGTTTACAATGAAATTAAAGCGCTGAATGGTTAAGGGAGACACATGATACAAAATTATTCAAAGAATTTTAGAACCATTAAGAGACAAACTTTTTTTTTACCAAATAAGATTCACCTCTTAACGATTCAGAAACTATCTTTTAATGAAACTATTAAAAGGTAAACAAACAACCAATTATTTTTAAGTAAATAAATTTTAGGAATAAAAAGAATACATAAAAATATTCTGAAAATAAAATCAGTAAAAATAGTGGAAATTAGCCGTGGATATAATTTGATGAAGATCAAAGTGTAAAACCAAAACCCAACACAAACCCAAGCCACGTGCTTAACACGCGTCTCTCCAAATTCAACATCTTCTTCTTCCACAAAATCTTCCCCAATTTTCACTCACACTTGTTGATCGACTGAAGATCTACCTTTACTTCAAACCCTCAATCACATAATTCTCTTACTGCAAAGCTGGAGCAGTTGAAGACCATCGGTAGGGAGCTCGCAATGGGCTCCCAAGGCGGCTTCGGCCAGTCCAAGGAGTTCCTTGACCTTGTCAAATCAATCGGAGAAGCCCGATCCAAATCCGAAGAAGATCGTATAGTTCTACATGAGATCGAGATGCTAAAACGTCGAATAAACGAGCCGGATATCCCCAAACGGAAGATGAAAGAGTACATCATCCGCCTCGTCTACATCGAGATGCTTGGTCATGATGCTTCTTTTGGGTACATTCATGCCGTTAAGATGACACACGATGATTCGCTTTTACTGAAACGAACTGGGTATTTGGCTGTTACGCTGTTTTTGAATGAGGATCATGATTTGATTATATTGATTGTGAATACGATCCAGAAGGACTTGAAATCAGACAATTATTTGGTCGTTTGTGCTGCCTTGAATGCGGTTTGTAAGTTGATAAACGAGGAGACTATACCTGCTGTGATTCAGCAGGTGGTTGAGCTGTTAGGGCACCCAAAAGAAGGGGTTAGGAAGAAGGCCGTGATGGCGCTGCATAGCTTTTATCAGAGATCTCCATCCTCTGTGAATCATCTTGTATCCAGCTTCCAGAAGGTCAGTGCTTTTTAGTTATACAGGCTTTCTACTTGTATAGTACTATTTTTACCTGCATTATGGAGTAGAGCGAATCTGATGATTGGCTATAAGCATTTGAAGCTTGCTTGGTTTGATATTTATATTATTTTCCTTGAGTTCTTATAGCCAGACACAATATCCTTTACTAGAAACAAGGTTTAAGTTAATCTATTGTTCTTTGAATCACTTCTGCTATGATAAGATCTGTTTGGTCCTTCTCCGAATATTGGGGTGCGATTTTTGTGTTTCTAATGATATATTATATGCCCTGCATTTATTAATTAGTTTGGTGTTCGACGGTCAGTTTACCTTAATTGTTGGAGGCGCTGATGTTATACATGGTGCTCCATATCATCTTCATTTAAAATTAGCATATACGATTTAATCGATATTTCAAGTTAAAGAAAAGAAAAAAGGGATTTGATCAATTGATCTGAGTTAATTCTGCAAGTATGATACCATTATTTATCAAGTCTAATGATAAAAAGAGAGCTATTGAAATAACAGATAAATATGAAAGATCAAACTCTAATTTGTCCATGGTATAAATTTATTGGAATACATCACTTGAGGAGATGAAACTGTGAAAGTCATGGGAAACATCTGCATAGACACCACAAACAGGTGGTTATTTCCACTACTTCATTTCAGTAAAAATATAGTGGAATATTTTAGGGAGCACATCATCAGATCTTAGCTCATAACTTATCAAATCTTCTCTCTCATGTTGATGATTTATTTGCATAATGAAATGGTTAATTGGTTATAACAGGTGATATTAATGCAATTCAACTGTATTTTATGAGGCAATTTGTTTATTTCCTCATTAACTTTTATTCTAATTGTAAACATCCTCTTGACTCATCTTGAAATTCATAATTTGTTAAAAAATCGAGATTTTCTGATTCTTAACCTGTACATTTCCGATTTTGCAGAAACTTTGTGATAATGACCCTGGTGTCATGGGCGCTACACTTTTCCCTCTATATGATCTTATCACAATAGATGTAAACTTGTACAAGGATTTAGTTGTAAGCTTTGTGAACATTCTTAAACAAGTTGCTGAACGCAGATTGCCAAAAAGTTATGACTATCATCAGACACCTGCTCCATTCATACAGGTACGCTTCTTTCCTGGGAAAATCAAAAGCTTGATACCCGATAACCTTGGGGAGCTGGAAACTGAATCAGCTATATGATTTGATGATTGCATTACTGTATGATTTAAAGTTGTAAGCTTGTACATATATTATGTTGGTAGCTAAAGGGGGATGTTCATGTTTTTTAGCCGATAACTAATTTGTTTACAGTATTTCTTCTGGATGTGCATCTTTTTTGTGTTGTCTTGATAGAAATGTATTCATAAGCAATGAAATGCTTAAAAGCAACAAAGTAATTCTAGCACCAGTTATGGTACACTCAAGGTGAAAACAAAACCAATTACAGATCAGTTCCACCTAGAAGCAAACATAAAATGAACCCCCTAGGGTCCAGGACATGAAGGAAGTCCTTCCATGAACTTCTAAGTTGTATCAAAGGCCAAATCATTTGGTATGCACCATTTGTGCAACCCTTTCTTCACTACTACTTTTCTTGTCTTATGGTTTGTCTCTTCTCTTCTAGTCGTTGCATTTGAATGTCTATGATGGAGATGACCAAATCACCTCAATCGGTGCAACCCAACCTTGTCTCATGTATTCTAGATTATTATTCTGACTGTTGGTGCATGGCTACATCCATTTCATCTGTTTTTTTTACGAACACCATGTGAAAAAAATAAATTACACTAATCAATTTTATAAGTTCTATCAAAAGAGATTTCAAACTTGTAACGGAAAACTTGTAAAAAGGAGAACGGAACAAAAGAATTCCTTGATAATGAGTGATGCAGAGTTACTACAACATGTCATACTTCTTGCTGCAAACATATGATTGCTCCATTATAAAGCCTTTATGAATTCTAGCAATGTTGTTTGTGAAATTGGATAGTCATTCTTGACATGCTTTTGTTAATCAATTTGGTACAACCATTTTTCAAAGTAATATTGTTATTATATTACTATTAATTTTTTTGAGATGGAGTACTATTGGATCCATGATTATGTTGCAACATCTACCTTTAAGGTAACTAATTTGCTTAGCACAGTTTAAGGATACTAAGATTGGAGGGTGACCAAAGGTGGATAACTAATTCTAGTTCATAACTACAAGGGCAGCTGCTAGGAAGCAGGGGTGCTTTATCGCTTTGCCGAATCCTCGGGTTGCAATTCTTCAAGGGGTGTGCACCCCATGTAATGTTGACTGTATCCTTGATTGAATCATTGATGATGCATTCATGGGGATACAAGGATGCATAATTAAAAAACTTGGTACTTATAAGTTCATAACTCGCAAAATTAGAAGCAAAGGCTAAAATAGATAATAAACTTGAGAGTTTATGATCGTCAAAGAGAAAAACAAGGCAATACAAGAAGTTATTTTGTTGGTTGCTTGGACTAATATGGATATATTTAAGTAAAAGTATAAGCATCATAAGACATGGATTATAGCGTACATATATTTTGCATCATATCTATTGTCTGAATTACTAATCAACATCTTGTTTTATTGGTTTGGTTTTGGCCTTGTACATACACATGTATAATTGCACCTGGTATTCTTATTTTTCTAGGATTTCAGAACCCCACTATCCATGTATTACTCATCCGTATACTTGCAACACAAGAAGACAATATTTAAGATTGTATTAACATATTGTAATTAAGCTTATTATTCATACTTGTCTTAGTAACTAGGCATAGCTAAAAGTGTGCATCAGATACAAATTTGTTCCAAATAAATTTTAATCTTTATGCTACGCGATGCAATATATGTTGATGCACACGTATAAAAAGGTAGAGGTATGAAGGACGGATGGAGGAAATTAGTAACATCTTCCATTTTTCTTTGATGGATTAGCGGTGAAGATGTGTTGATTCTCATTCAATAGAGTTATGAGGTGTCAATGAGAGTTAGAATTCCTACCATCTAAGATGATAAAAAGTCTCTACCCTTTCATATCATGTTCCTCAAGACATTTATGTTAGAGAGTTAGTTTTGAACGCATGTATGTGAGTATATGTTAGGATAGGATACCCAATGAGGGTTGTGTCGGACGAGACATATGTCCAAGATAAGTAGGCTAATGAACCCAATACATGAAAGGAAAGCCAACTAAGGGAGCTGGGGGTGCTTGAGGGGACAAGATATGTAGGAAAACAACATGCTTGAAGGAATAACTAACCCACATTCCGGTAACAAATCCTTAGCGGCAAAACATACCCAAAGAGACAAGTTACATAGGCCATAACAAACTCCCTAATGGACTTTGGGGATTTCGAGAGAACTAGCATGCCAACCAACCTATAATATGAGATAAACATACATTGTAAAGGACTTGTAACACTTTATGCCCTCAAACACGGACTCTCAAGAGCTTTTATATCCTAAATTCTTTCTCATTGGAGCCCTGTAGCAGGGCCTGAATGTACTTTTTGTTTCAGGGCTATGAGTCTATAATCATGTGTAGTGCAGGTCATTACATATGTGTACCTTATAAAAATGATGAGGTTATCTACAAGGTTGATGTTTATAAGTAGTGATCAAAACCAGAGATTATGAATGTATACCATTCCTTTAAGTTGACAATAAAGCCCTTGGAACAATGATGAGGTGAATGGTATGATATGAAACTCAATGTTGGTTCCATCAACAAGTATCATGTGCACATTGAACTTACTAAGGTGGCTAAAACAAAACCGGAAATATGCGTGGACGTTGCATTAGGTAATGAGAGTCGGAGGCTGATAGGAACCAAGAGACATTTTATTGAAATAATTTTAAAACCAACGTTGTAAAGGCCAAAGAGTGGGCGAGAATTGAAATACAAAATGGGCTTGCTTTTGGGAGGCAACCATCTCTCCTAGAGATATTTAAGTGAACCTTAGCATTCACATCAAATGAAGCATGCCATTTATTCTCCACCAATCCCTTATAAGTAGAGCTAATTAATTATATTTATTAAAACATAGTTGCTACGTTTTCTTAATATGATTACCATACAAATAATATGATAATATAAATATATATATCTCTTAATCAATTGATAGAATGGAGCCTATTAATTATGGAAATACTAAAGTTACCTTGTTAACTAATTAGCCTTAAATACTGCGAGTCTAACAGAGGCAATGTTATGTGGGATGGTTTGGTTGTATTCAGCACCATTGTTGGGTTCAAGTGACCCTAAGAGGGTGAAGAGTCAATGGAGCACCAACATGTAGACCTCTGGCATACCTCTGTAATGTGCCTGAGTTCTCGACACAACAAAGTCCCACTATATACCAACAATCTAGAATGGTTTTATGTATTTATTATGGCTTTTTAATTGATTAATACATGTGTTTGCGGTATATGAATCTGGTTATTTGTTATTATGAACTATTATTATGGTTCGAAAGTAGTACAATGATGATGATGCTAGCTCAATCATACATCTGTCCTATAAAGGAATTCTTATCTTTTAGTTTAATTACTTGTTTTAATTATTGATTTATTTAGCTCAAATTTGTATTTGTGATTCTTAATTTTTGACATCATAATTAGTTCTTTTCAATATGCAGATTAAGTTGCTCAAAATCTTGGCTTTACTTGGTAGTGGCGACAAAAGGTCCAGCGAACATATGTATACAGTCATCGGAGACATAATGAGGAAGAGCGACACAACTAGTAACATAGGAAATGCCATTCTTTATGAATGCATATGTTGCATCTCATCTATACAGTCGAGTCCAAAGTTATTGGAAACAGCGGCTGATGCAATTGCTAAATTCCTGAAGGTGTGCCATTATTTCAAGTATTATGGTATCTTTAAAAAAAAAAGAAGTATTTTGGCAGTAGGATAATCGTCAAAGTTGTTGGTTTATATATATGCTAGTCTTATTGGCAACTTTCTCTTCATTGTAGAGTGACAGTCACAATTTGAAGTATATGGGCATCGATGCTCTTGGTCGATTGATACGGTTAAGTCCAGAAATTGCCGAACAACACCAACTTGCTGTAATTGATTGCTTAGAGGTATGTAGATTCAGTATCTCATACTTCACATATGCATCTGAAGCAACTAGTATTTTTATTAGATTGGAACCAATCTTTTACTTATGTGTCTATCTAGTTCATTGATCTATCAGATATGAATCAGATACATGCTAATGAAGTTAGTTACTCAAAACAGTTATGATTGGTGCCGAATCAAGAACTATATATACAAGTCTATCTATTCATTGATCTCGCCTTTGCTGTGCTAATAGAACTAGCCTTTCTTTGCAAAATTATTCAATAATGCTATAGATGCCTGTTCAACCTGTCCTATTGACCAATCAATGACCCCTCAATTTTTTCAACTGTTACTGCTGAAAATAGAACTTTAAAATACCTTACAGTTTCCTTCCTGATATCTTTGTTGGTCTTCCCGGTGGAATAGATGCATTCATCTCAACTATTCTATGTTTAAGCAACTTGGTTTTAGATATAGTTGTTCAGGTATAGAAATCCCTTTTTTCTTATTAACGTGCTGACATATATACGCATATATTAAATTCTCATTCACTTCTTGACACAGGACCCTGATGACACTCTCAAGAGGAAAACCTTTGAGCTGCTTTATAAAATGACAAAGTCCTCAAATGTGGAAGTGATAGTAGACCGTATGATTGATTACATGATTAGCATCAATGATAGTCATTACAAAACCGAAACAGCTTCGAGATGCGTGGAACTTGCAGAGCAATTTGCGCCCAGCAACCATTGGTTTATCCAGGTCTGCTCATGCATACACATTAATTCATTTCAGAAGGCCAATTTTCATAGAAATGTTGCATGTTTCTTAAAATTCTTATTTTTTCTCCTCCCTACATTTTAACTTTATAGACCATGAACAAAGTCTTCCAGCATGCTGGGGATCTAGTGAACCCTAAGGTGGCACATAACTTGATGCGATTGATTGCTGAGGGATTTGGAGAGGATGATGATACAGCAGATAGTCAGCTGAGATCATCCGCTGTATGTAATTCTCGTCCGGTGCTAACTTTTTTTTACTGTTCTTACTTCAATTTATCTATATCTTTATTTGAAATGCATATCTGACAGCGTTTTTGTGGTTTTCTTTCATGTGGTCGTGATCACTTCCACATAGTTGTTACATACATCATGTATACCTTTGTGGTGATTAAAGCGCATGACCTTTATATGAAATGCTTATCTGATAGTACTTTTTGTGACTTGTGTGGCTATGATGTAATTATAATGGGCTTCACATATTTTTCTTTCCCTTTCTTTTCCATGACTACCTCCATACTGATTGAAATATGCCTGTTATACTTATATGTGCTCATAAGTTCATTGACGCTAGTACCTATGATTACGTTCACTCAAAAGATCTTTTGTAATAGGTCTCATTATAGAGGGAGGGTGCACTTGTGAGGTGAAAAATGTGATTGTAGCACACGATCTGAGGCAACATCCTCCAGCCATCGTTCATATGTTATTGGATTTTTACTTTTCCAGCCTTTCTTCTGCCACCTATTAGCTTCATGACATATTGCAGACATTGTGAATAATGGGGCTACCAAAAGCATTGGCGGATTTAGGAATTTCTTGGAGAGGGTGCACCTTTAAGGTGGATCAAAGGTCCGCAAAATAGCATTTTGACCTTGGGGGAAGTCGATGCGGTTTGACCTAGGGAAAATAAATTGTGCCGATTTGGGGAATAAAATAAACTTTTTCAAATCGAAACCGACCTTGATCCTTAAAATAAATATATGTTGTCTACTTGTCTTGAAAATGAGATAAAAAGCGATGATTTTTAAGATGACCTGACATTGGGAAGGAAAATAAATCATGAAAACAAACAAAAAAATCAAAATAGGAGAAAGATTAACAAAAAATTGCTTTGGCATAGTGATAGTAATGCTTATAATTGTACTTGAGGTTGTGAGTTTGAACCTTCTAACTATATTTTTGTTGTTATTATTTTCAGAAATAGCATGGTAGGGCCTGAGTAAATTCCCTGGGCTGGCCGTGGAGCCTAAAACTGAATGATAAAAAATTAAATTTTCACTTAAAAGATTTGAACCCGTGACCTCTTGCATGTGAAGTGGTAATCCAACCATCCCACCGGTGTTCAATTTCTGTTGTAGATTTGGTTCAAAGTATTTAAGGGCACCCCTCAAAATCAAGCGGGGCACCTTTCAGACAGTTAAATGTTTTTCTCTTGCAATAATCGAGTGAGCGGGTGCACGGGATCCCGCTCAGCTCCTAATAGGTCCATCCCTGACTAAAAGCATGTAGTTGTTCTTGTTCCTATTGCATGCGGGTTTCTAATGAAGAATTTCAGCTATTAAACCCGTAGTTCAATAGAAGTACCATTGTGTTGACTACTGGGAGCTGAAGGGGAGAAACAATGTATGAAGGACACGAGTTTGTCCCAATACCAAAAGGTTAAGGGACTAAACTGATGTAGATTGCAGATCTACTTTCAACTTCAGTATGCATTGGTCCATTTATCTCATCTTGAGTATTTGTGCATTCATATGCAATCATTTGCATAGCTTCTGCTGTTGAAGTATTATGGAGCTAGAAATTAATGGATATTTGTTGATAGAAAATGTATTCGATCACGTTATGATGGTGTGTGAGGTATCTTCTCTTGAGTGCTGTCTACAAACCTGGCCTATGGTTCGTATATTATCTTCTACCCATCCAAGTCTGTTACCTATTTTATTTTACACTCAAGCCCTCTTACAGAAGCAATCATACCTGCTACATTGCTAGACCAAACTCCAACATCAACGTAAATTATTCCACCCAGTTTCAACTTTCAAAGTCTTCTATTTCCCAATTAGTAACTTGCTACAAATCTGTAATATAAGCACTAAACTGTTGATATCCTTCATCAATGTGTGTAATGCACAAAGAATCATTAGCATTACAGCAAATACCTGACTGTCTAGTTGCTTGGCAATGCTTCCAGCTAAAGCAATAAACATGACATGAAGGGTCCTATTGTTCTCAAGAATGAGCTTTCAGCTTTTATTTGGCTTGGGTTTTACTGTACCGTGTTTCTTTGTCCCCTTAATTGAGCTTCTTTCCCTCTGCTTCTGCAAGTGACCGTCTTGGTCTCTTGGACAATGGACACTACCAATGACCTCTATGTGGTTAATTATTGTTTTTTTTTCTCCCTTCATTTTTCCTTGTCTACTTGTTTTGCTTGAGCTGCTGCTTATTTATCAGTTATTTTTATCATGGTGGCTATTTTATATGGACCCCTACTTTGGAATAACCTACTGTTTAAGTAACCTACTTATAAAACTATTTTTTGTTTTGATATGAACTATTAGTTGACAGTGACATACTGACATGCTCATATCAAACTTTGTATTTGGGATTATTGTTCTTGCCTTTTAGATGATCCGATTGTCTAGGGTTGTTAACATATCTTTCCTTACTGGGTACTTGACATGGCTCAACTCTTCTAATGATTAATAGAACTACCTTCAGTTAACCTGCCCTAGTTAATCAAACCATGGTCTGGTGTAGCCCTACTTGGCTTGGTTCAAATACTCTACTGAGCACTTGATCTGATTTTAATCTGTAAACCAAATCATTAGTATGACATGTCTCTCATTTGAAATTTCTTTATCTAGTATTTCATTTGAAATATTGTAAATACTTTCAATTTGTCGAACAGAATTTTTATTTATCTGAAAGATGTCTGATTTGTGCTTGTTGTAATGGACCTAAACTATTTACTTATTTAGTAATCCATCATCATTTTTTTGGGGTAGAAACCCAAAATTGGCCAAAACTTTGTTGGACCCTGACTTAAAGTCTATGACCCAATCAATCTATCTTGACTCGGCCTTTACTAAGCCTGCAAGCTGTTTGATGCTAAAAATAGAAACCTCTTATTCTTAATACTTAGCTTGACTTGAGTCTGATCTGATATACACGTGCCTGCTGCGCCATCCTGGACTTGAACCAGAGACCTCGCCCGTGAAGTAAATCATCGCGCCTACGGTCCAACCAATTGGGAGGCTCAGAAAAACTTGAGCAAAGTCAATCTCTTTATGACCCAATAATTGCGTTATTGCATCTATGTGAATAGCATGCAAATCATGCATCGATAATTAGTCAGTTGATGATTTTAAGTCACGCTATGGTAAATTATAGTTTTACGATATGCTCTCTCTTTTTATTTTTATTTTTGGGTTATATGACTGGAACTGTCTGTTATTGGCTGCAGGTGGAATCTTACCTGCAAATAGTTGATCAGCCAAAACTCCCATCTGCATTTCTCCAGGTAAGTTCTGATATATGTAGGTTTCATATTCACTCTGGATGTGGACATGGCTGCTTTGTTATTTGTTTTTTACTATGTTAGTTTTGAGAACAGGTCATATGTTGGGTATTGGGTGAATATGGAACTGCAGATGGTAAATATTCTGCTTCTTACATCAGTGGTAAGTTATGCGACGCGGCGGAAGCACATTCAGATGATGATATAGTTAAGGTATATTTATGAGCTTTATGAGCACTAAATGGCGTCTATTGGTATACTTGATTGCAGTCTTTCATATACTTGACTCGTTTTCTAAAAGTTATTTTTTGACCTCTTTACTTGTTCATATGGTTTCATGTTTGGGAAAGAAAGTAGGGGCATTACTTGTAATGGTGAGTACATGTGACTTTTTCCATTCCTAAAGGGTGATAAAAAAGAAAAATTAGGCTGTAATAGTCTTAATAGGAGTGTTGAGAGTGATTAACCTGTTGATATGTGTTTTTGGCCTTTAGATGGAGGAATAGGGTTGAAAGCAGGTGACTACAATGAGTTTTGATTGATCTTCCCTTGCTCTTATGTCCTCTGGGCATCAATTCTAGCATCTTTCAACTAGTTGACACTCAAAGTCCAACCATTATGTAATTGCTAACGAATTTCTGTATTTTTCATAAAAATCAGTTAACCATGTCATATATGTTCACAATCATCAAGTGGCATTTAGATCCAACTAGGTTGAGTTGCTGATTGATAAATCCTATGTATTTGTTCTGTGAGATTTATGAGAATTTTTTTTCTTCTCAAACACTTGCAACGACACTCCTCTGTGTGCAATAGTATGTTCCATAATGAAGTAATGAACCTTTAGCAAAATAACCCTAGTATGATATCAAACAGATGGATATGGTTTAACGACATGCAACATAGAACAATGAATGCTGGTTAAGGGTGTGAAAATTTTGATTTCTAATGAAATCCTAGAGGTAGTGGAAGAAAGCAAGCATGTAATGTATCAGAATGACAATAATAATGAAGAAATAGAGATTAGAAAAGGAATGATAAGCTGCAACATATGGCTATGGATGGTATAACATTTTCCAGAACTGTTCATTGGGGATTGGTGGGTTGATGGGGGCATGGTTGGAGAGAGTAAGGAGCAAAAAGTTGTTTGGAACTGTTATGATTCACTAGGACCTGACACTTAGGTGTTTTGCATGGTGTTAATAGACGTGTTTTAAATATATACTACAAGTGTATGGGTTATGTAGCATATGGGTCGATCAYAGGGAGGTGACGGTCTAAACACTAACCACTTAATAATCGTGGCCTAGATGCGAATCAGATGATTGATTTGATTATTAAACTAAGTAGACATGAAACAAACAAGATCAAGGAAAACAGATAAAACAAGAAACAATTAAAAGTAAAACCAAGCAAAACAAGCGACCTACAACTAAAGGGAAGTGGCTAATGTCAACCTCGGAGTTCGGTAATGGTGGGAATTCGTTACGCAAAGCTACTTCAACTCTCTCTCGAGGTGGAAAAGCTTTTCTAAACCAAGAATTGTATTTCCTTTCGCAACATGTGTACGTTGGGAAGAATCATTAGGATTTAGAATGACTTCTTTTCCCAATCAACGCCCAAATTATTTACATGTTAGGACCTTTGTCATTGATCAATTTAATCTTAGTGAAAGATCAAACTTTTGTTATATCAAAAACTGATCGAATTAACCAAACGCTTTGTTACCAGTTGAATCAGCACCAACTTTCGTTAGAATCGAAATGGATTAGAACCCAACACCCGTTTTAAAAACAATTGGTCAATACCAAAACCTTTATCTCAAGCGACGATTGCCCAACAAAACGAATGCTAAACTAAAACCAACAAGAAATTACTTATCTAGATCCCAATAAAAATAGAATGGAGTACATCTGAACTAGTAAGATAGCTACATTAAATTCTTATAAGGAAATTAATATCAACACATAGCAAGGCGAACAATAAACAACTACTCAAACATGTGTAGAAAATTAGCTAAATGCTTGAAATTAAATAAGTGCAGAAAATTGGTTACCTAAACCTAATGTGCAGAAATTGAAGTGCAGAAATTCAAAGAAGGTGCAAAATTGAAATGAGTGCAGTAAGTTAAATAGAGTGCAAACAATGGAGAAATGCAGAGAACTTGAACCTAGTGCAAACAAACGACGAATACTGAAGGATTAAAGAAGAAAACTCGAGAACAATTCAATCAATAACAATATTCGCACAAAACAAGATATCAAATATACTAAGGGGATAGGGAACGAGATAATCAATAACGTAGGAAAAGCCGATAGTAATTCGGATTCCAATGGCATAAGCTCCTAGCATAAGAGTCTTCCTCCCCAAGAATTGTAAATCGTGATCCAAGAACTTGAGAAATCGAATGTATCGTATGTTCTAAGAAAATAATGACCGCTTAAAAAAAACCCTAAAAGAAGTATGAATTGGTAAGTCAAAAAGGCTCAAGTAAAAGCCCAAAAAAACAGTCTAATCGATTTTCATGGTCGTGAATCCTTCGTGCCCGTGAAAGTGCAGCAAAAACTGTAACGTGTTTTAGGAGCAGTGCTTCATGACCATGAATAAATCTTCTCCCTTGAAACTGTTGCAGAAACTTTTAGCATCAATTAGTGTGTTTTCTTCGCGCTTGCGAAGCAGACTTTCGTGCCCATGAAGCATGGGCAACAACTATGTTCTTCCAACTTCATCTCTTTCAATGGTTTTTCTTCTTTGCTCTCGATACTTCTTCTTTTCTTCCTCCTCGGCTTTATCTTCTACATTCACTTGATCTTTCTCTTCTTTCTTCACCTCGAGCATGCCTTCACCCATGTCACCTTTAAAATCATGCATGATTTGTACAAAAACACATACCAAAAGCATATAAAACCATCCCTGAAAGAAATTCCAACCGTGATTAGAGAAATAAGAGAGAGAAAAAAAATGCATGAAAAAAAAGTTAGACTAACTAAAAGTCACTAAAAGATGCAACTAAAATACACAAAGTTTAGGTGCATAAAATGCACGTAACAAACCACCCACAAGCTAAGCTTTCTTGTCCTCAAGAAAGAAATAGAATGTATTCAGGTGAAAAAGAAAGAAAAACGAACGAAGATCTCCAAAGTTCTCAAGACAAGTTATCCCATAACTCAATAACATGATTAAGCATTAAGATCACTTATCGCAGATAAATAACCAAACGCCATGTGCTGGATTGGAGTAAATATAAGTAGGAATTTATGATTACCAAAGCGTCAAAACTAACACACACCAATCAAGCATATCACAAAAGAAATCGTAACCCAAAAAGATTTCGCAAACATACCATAGCCGCTATGGGAAGGGATAGTGATCTATACGGATGGATGCTCACGGTGTCACTCTATGCTCTCAAGTGTGTACAGGGACGTGTATACGCTCAAATCCTCCCTCTCGAGACAAACAAAATGTAGCCTTAACACGATTGAATTTATTCTCAAGTCTAAGAGTTCACCACAAAAGTATATGCGATGTTGGGGATATCAATTTATGGGGTTTTTTTTATGCACATAAGGGCTCTTTGCCTAAATTTTTTGGTGGATTGAAGGCTTTTTTTGCCTTCTCTTTTGTTTTTAGGGCTTGTGAATCCACAAGCTATGCTCGTTTTGGGGGCTCAACAAACTACTGCAAGCTATGCTCGTGTTTATATATAGACTAAATATCAAACCCATCTATAATTTTGAAGAATTCAACCTTAATATGTTTTTTTTTCTTTTGGTTTATGGTTGTACAAAAGGTCTAGCATTTAGGCTCAAATTCGGTTACAAAATGAAAATATATTTGTTTATTTTCGGGATTTTCTATGAAATGAAGGCCTCTATGTACATTCATGATAAACTTGGACGGGAAACCAGTCAAAAGCCTAGACTACACCTCAATGGGAGGTAACACACAAGAAATGAAAATTGGGATTGATTACATATGTGTCAATCCAAAAGACCCAAAATATCACTAGGTAGATCCATGCATTATAGCCACATTTGTAATGTAGGGGGACTACGGTATGCAAACTAGTCCTAAAAGGTTACGAGAAACAACATGCTTAACAGTGTGTGCAAGTGACAACTAATGTAACATCATTCCTAGACAAATCATTGAACATGGCAAAAAGTTAATGTGCAATTAGTGTTATAGTCACATTTGTAATGTAGGGGGACTTCGGTATGCAAACTAGTCCTAAAAGGTTACGAGAAACAACATGCTTAACAGTGTGGGCAAGTGACAACTAATGTAACATCATTCCTGAACAAATCATTGAACATGGCAAAAAGTTGTGCAATTAGTGAATCCAACAACTAAATCATGTGACAAGATGTGTTGTACTACAAGTCTTGGCACAACAAAGAGAAATCAAAAATCTTTTTGGATTTTTTAAATGCAAAGCAAAATAAAACTATATGCAAAGAAAAAGGAAAAAGAAAAAGAAAAGGAAAAAAGCACCCATCCACAAGCAAAGAGGAGCATTGTCTTCAATACTCGGGTTAGGGTGTACGGAAAGAAAAATAAATCACGGGGAAGGGGGGAGGGGGAGATTGTGTTGGCGATAGTAGCGCTCTAAGAATCAACACTGATTGTGCTTGATGCGCTCAACATCTTGCCATAGGCAGATTATACTCCGATCAATGGCATGTCATGCACCTCAAGAAAATCACCCCTAAGACTAGCAATATCTTCTTGGATCGTGCATATTGTCTCATTCAAGTCATTGAGACTATTGGAAACGACTCTTATCTCTTCCCTTGATTCTAAGGTCCATGTGTCGAATCAGTTAATAAGCTCATGAGGGAGAAAAAAATGCCTGTGCGGGGGTGGAGGTGTCGTCTGTGGTGCACGTGTGTGCTTTGTTAAGTGAGGTGGCTGCTGAACATCACGGAACCTCTAATCTGTATGCCCAGTCATGCTAGTGAGATCGGAAGGTAGTGTAACTGAGTGATACTGTCATTGCGCACCGACCAACTGGTAATATGTTGGTATATTTTGGGTGATGAGCTCAATCATTTGCATGCTAGCATGGAGCAAAACATCGGCGGCGGGGATATGTTAGGTTGAACAACCTGACTCTGCCCGCCCGACTAGAACACTGACGCTTTGGGCGACTTGGAGAGGCCATGCGTGTCGATGCAAAAAGGGACAAATGAGGTGTACACAACCTACGT